GATCTAAGAGTATAATTTTGATTAATCAAAATGAAAAATGAAAAATTGAGTATTATTAATATTTATGAAATTAATGATTAAAGTTATGTTTTGAAAAATAGAAAATTATAAGCATTTATAGTAATTTATATTTTTTATTGCAATACATGAAAATAACCATTTATTGAAAAAAATTGATCAAAAACCTTTGATTTAAAAAATTTTATAACTGATTAATATTTTAAAAAAGCATTATACAAAATTAAGATATTATTTTATAAAATAACTGTTTTTAGTATTTATTTTTTTGTAATTAAAACAATCTTTTTAACATAAAAAATGTATTTTATCAGTTTATCACAAAAATTAACTATATTTTATGTAATTTCATTAATATGAATTTTAATCAGTTAAATATATATTAAGTAAAAATTAAAAACAATATATTATAAGATATAAATAAATATTATATAAAATTAGTGGAAATTTTAATATTATTTATAATAAATTTAGTGATTAATTAACAAATTTTAAATATTAGATTTACTAACCATTATTAGAATTAGAAATTACATTTTATTTTTAATAATAAAATATTGCAGATATTAAAATTTAATTTTTTTTGTTTAGAGAAGTTTTTGCTAACGTAATTGATTTTATGACTAATTTATAAAATATTTAAAGAAATTATTTTAAACCTTCAATATTATTATAAATTTTTATTAAATAAAATAATTTATTAGGAGATATGAATTATAGAAAGGAACAGCTATCAGAGAATGAACAACATACTTAGCATAAAGTTAAGAAAGGATTAGAATAAGATCTAGTTAACACGGTGTTTAAAAAAGTTAATAATTGATTTATGTGTAATAAATATAAATCATTGTTCTGTGTAAGAAGTATTCCTTTATAATATTCCTTAAAAAATATTGGTAAAATTGTTTTTATATTTTAAAGACTCTTTAGATTTGGTAAAACTTAGATAAAATTTATTCTCTTGATTTATTTTTTTGTTAATTACATAATTAAAATTATTATAAAAAGAGTATAGAAGACACTTTTTATATTAATTTTACAACTAAATTACAGTCTTCATTTAGTAAAATATATTATTAAATAGATGTTCTATTGTTATTTACTTTAATTAAAATGTTTATGAAAACTTATAAATCTTTATGTTTCAATCTGTAGTAGTTAGATAAAGAAAACTTTATTCTCTCTTTTTATTTTGATTTTTATATTTTAAAATTTTTAAAAATACTTGCAACTTCTGTTTTGGAGACTACAATCTAAACTAATCCTGTATAAAAGGCTTTTGAGAGGTCATTTAGTTATAATCCGGAAAAGTTGAATTGTAGTTTTGTTAAATTATAAAAAAATTTATTATAAATATCTTTTTGTGTAAAAATTTATTAAATAAATTAATATCATATTCAGTTGTAAAAATCATTATTAAGTTTATTATCAATAAAGGATGGTATATTAAAAATAAAACA